TAACCTCGCAAGACTGCTGGAAAAATTTCGCGTCGATCTACGTGATGGCTCTTGGAAAGTGTAAATTATATAGCAGTTGAAATTTCCCAACCGCACCGCCCGGGTTTACACTATAATGTGCGCGCGGGTAGCCCGGCAGCAAACGGCCAATGAGAGAGTGGAGAAAAATCGTAGGGTACAGACATGGTCCTGCCGCGAAATGACACAACGGTTCACAATGACTCTCATGGGGACGCGCATAGTCGCGATTTCAAATATGATTGGGATAGACTGTACGCAATAAGGTATCATGGTCCAACTCAGAAAACAAAATTACCTTCTTCATGTACCCAATTCTCTTCGGCACAATCTGCAGGCCTTGGTGCGCATGAAATCAACGAACAGTATTCCTAAACAGATACTGTCCAGCATTAGACAAGAATAAGAGTGAATGCTGCAATTGCGTACCTGCTTCTGTTCGCAGAAACAATGACGACAGCCATCACTCCACCATTCACCACCATCTCGTTCAACTACGCGACCAGTTGGACTTAGCGATACGCATTTATCCCAACCTGCCAGCCGTCCAATTTTCTCTGGTATGGTAAGCTTTGCTTCGATCCGGGAGATTGCTGAAAATATATGTTAACAAATGAAATATCTATAGATCTGAAAAAAAACTAGGAAATTATGGCGATCACTTTTTTCAGAGAAAAGTGAAAAATTGAACAGCTTTTCTACAAAGAGATATGGTCAGATTGGCAGGCACCAAGCTTATCCGCTTTGCCTCTTCATGATTGGTCAGATCATCAGAAAGGACCAATCACGAAGCGGCTAAGCGGATGAGTCTGGTGCCGACAATCTCAACATACCGAATAAATGTGGTACCCGCCTTTGCCTACTGTATGCTCAATCAATATATCGATTTATAAAGATATCCTACGTATCATAATCATGCGTCCGATTCGAGCATATGAAAATTGAGTTTCTATATTTCAAAAATATCAGATCGAAAACAATTGTCTGTTATCATAAACCGGTGACTAAACATTGTCAGATTATAATTGAAAAAAACTCGTTAATTATGTCAAATTTTCCAAACGAAAGATTAGGTGAAAGACAACGAAGCAGAAGATAAAATTACCTCTGCATTTGCATACTGGACAACCGATAGAATTTGATTCGAATCCGTAGAGGCAGTGCTTCATGCACTGGTGTAATGGTGGACATTTGGCACATTTGCATACTACACATCCTGCTGCATCTTTTGCATATCCATGTGCACATTGTCTAAACAAAACAATCAAAAATTGTCTTCCCCAAAAGTGAAGGGCTAGAGAAAGAAATGGACTGCGGACTTACTTGTCACAGTTCTGAGTTGAAAGTGCCGGACATTGCTCTGGTCTGTTTGTTG